AGGGGGGAAAATCAAGATGACAGCATGGCTGGTTCCTTCTGAGATTCCACTGGACCGTTTCCTTGCCTCTTTCAACTTCTAAAGGTGGCAAGGCATTCAGCATTCCCTGGCTCGTGGCTACATCGCTCCAATCTCCGCTTCCATTGTTACGTCTCCCCCCTCTGTTATTAAATCTCCCCTGTCTCCCTCTTAGCAGGACAATTCTGATTACACTGGGCCCGCCTGGATTATGCAGGATAATCACCCTATCTGATCTGTACTTAATCACTGCTGCAAAGGCCCTTTTACCTTGGAAGATGACAAATTCACAGATTCTGGGGATTTGGAAGTGGACTTCTTGGGGAGGGGTCATTATTCTGTCTGTCACACACATGATGAGAAGAATCGCTCCCTTTTCAATTCTCTTCAGTGCTTTTGCCTTCTCCAAGGAGAAAGCCCTTGGCTGATGTGTTTCATCACCTCTCTTAACACTTGGCTGATCTCACATCCTAGCACAGAGTGAGCAAGCTCAGGCCGGTGCTGCCTCAGTTTCCTCATCTGTAAAATGGTGATAATTATAGTACCTCCTATAATTGCTGCGAGGACTGGATGAGATAACAAGGCAAGGATTCAGGCAGTGCCCAGCATGGTGTAAGCTCTAAATAAATGCTCATTCTCCCTATTTTATTTATGGCAAATGATACTGGTACTGATGATCCATTCCCAGAAATTGTATGGAATTTATCTTTAAAATAAATTCATTAAGTTAGAAAAACAAAAAACAAAAAACAAAGGTAAAGAAATGTGAGAACCGATTAGAAAACTGTAAGTAAATCAAAACTACAGGCACTGCACAAAGACGGCAAAAATGAGAAGGGGTGTGAGCCTCAAGACTGTGACTCTGACAGTGTCCTGCACACACACGCCCAGAACTACTGCCGTGGAGAGACTCGATTAGCATTTTCTGAATAAGCGAAGGAATGAGCTATTGCCAAGCATTGCTTCAGAGGCATTTCCTGCCTTGTCTCATTCAGTTCTTGCAACAGTCCTTTGAGGGGGGTGACCCTGGTTAACTTCATTTTCCATATGAGCAAACAGAGTTTCAGAGATTAAACAACAGCAAGGCACTCAGAAAATATAACTGGAGGAGCCCAATTTGAATCCAGACCAGTGCAACTGTCCCCCTTGGCTGCCTTCTAAGGCATTTTGCCTCATTGCCAACCCAGTTCCCACTATTTCCATCACGGTGGCGTTCAGGTATTTTTCTCCAGGGGGCATGTTTCCTCCTTGAAGCTGCTGCTGGTCCTGGGAACCCTTCTGTTTATTAAAGGGGCTCAGAAACCCTGGGCCATTGACCAGAGATGTCACCCAGTCTCTGCCCTGTGCTCCCTGCCTTTAAAGAATTGGCCACCAGAGAGCAGTGTTGGCCTATGTTTCTCCAGCCTCAAAATCACCCAGAAACCGGAGCAGCAGAGAGGGGACCAGGATTAGCTCCAGCCTGGTTAAAGCCTGGGCCAGACTCCTAGAAGCCCGCACTTGGGGACAGAGAAGCCAGCCCCATGGCAAGCCCCCAGAGTACACTGAGACAGCGCTGCGGAACACTGCTACCCTGGCAGGACGGGAGGCCCAGATAACAGCTCATTGCCATTCACAGAGAACCGATCTCTTGTCACCGTTTTACAGATAAGGAAACTGTGGCACAGATAGTTTAGGCTAGAAGCCAACTAGTCCCAGATCCCCCCCATTCCCCAATCCCAACCAATCCTCACCCTGTCAGGCTTCCAGAAAGCTTGAAACTCAGGAGCTATTTTGTTTCATGTGTACTAAGGAACAGAGCCCGAGCAGCCAAGCCTACAAAAGGGGAATCCAGGGAAGGAAGGTAATTGCACAAGCTCGGGGACTTGTAGCCCCAGCTGGTGGTCCTCTCCCCAGAGGCCTCTCCCCTTGCCTTCAGGCTCCCAGCCCCTGACAAGCGCTCACATTCACGGAGCACGTGGTACGTACGTGCCTGGCACTTAGTCCTCAGAGAAGCACTGGGAGGGAGTTGCCTTTCCCCATTTTACAGATGAGGAAACTGAGGCCCAGGACAGTTGATTGCTATCTGAGGTATTACCTTACCAAGGGGTAGAGTCAGGACTGAGACCCGGAAGTTTGGCTCCAGAGCTTGAGCTTCCTGCTCCCTGCCCTGTGATGCAGCAGCAGCCAGTTCAGACCCCACCTGCCTCCTTGGCCTCTGGTTATTCATCCTCCTTGGCCTGTTTCTTCACACAGTCCTCCAACCCACGGAAGTCAAGATCAGAGGTGGTGGCCCCGGAGGGGTGGGGCCCTGTGCACATTCACCCTTTCTGCAGGCCTTGAGCCCGTGTGGGCTCCTAGAGCCATATGGGCTCCAGTGCCTATGGCCGACTACTGGGCACATGCTCCAGAAGAGTGGCAAAGCCTTCCCTCCTCCCCCGGCATTGCCCCCAGCTGGCGAGATTGTCCCAAGGTGAGAGCAAAAACACTGTGTGGAGGAGGATAGATGCTGGGCCTCCTGCACAAGCCTCCCTGTCAATATCCATCCTCTGGTACCCAGGCATTCAACAATCACCCTCTTCCTCATCAGCAGTGTCTGCCACATCCTGGGCTCTACACCTGATATATATCACATCATTTTTCATGCAAAATGCACACGAGACAGGTTCTATGTGCAGCTCCATTTAAGAGAGAAGCAAACTGAGGCTTTGCGAGGTCAAGAAACAGAGCCAAGATCATACAGCTACCAAACAGCAAAGGAAGGGTTTGAACCCAGCTCCACCCAGCCCCAGAGTGCATGTTTTTCATGTTCTATTGCCTTGTCCCAAACATCTTAATCTGGGGCTCAGAATATATGCTCGTTTCTCATTCAAGAAGTCCTCCCTCTGGACTGCGATACGCAAACCGCTGCCCCGCATCTCTGGCTGGCTCAGGCCCCACCTGTCCAGCCTTTTACTGTTTTCCCTGAAGCCGGGCAGGCCATCCCTTCTCAGGCTTGGATTTCCACCTCTGGGAAATCTCACAAAAGGCTAAAATAATTTCATCAGGCTTTGGATCTGTACTGGTGAGCTCCAGTGTGACTGTCCTTTGGAAAGTCAGGGCCCTGCCCTCAGCAAGTCAGGCCTGGTAGAAAAACTCTAAACGAAAATGCAGCCTCTTTCACTTTGCTCTTCGGAAAGAAAGTGCAAAGGGTGCTGACCCCAAGCCTCACCTGGGCAATCATGCCCTTTCTGAGCCACCTTTCATTCGCTGGTTCTGTGGTGAGGACAGGAGGTTCCTCAGGGCCTGGGAGGACACCTCCCACCGAGGTGCCCGAACCCATCCTCTGGGCACCCAGACGCTGTTAATGAGATCCATTTGATGGCATTTAGGTTTTCCACATGTACCTGATGTGGAGGAGCACAGAGACACAAGCAGGGGAGGATTCCTGGGAAGCACGTCCTCCAGCTGGGACAGGAAGCAGCCTCCTTCTTTGGCCTTGAAGACGCATGAGGTCCGCAGGAGGTGAGAGGAAGTTGAATGGGGAGAAAGGAGGAAGTAGAGGCAGGAGGGCCAGAGGGAGGTGGTGACCAGAGAGGCTGGCTCAAACTTTCCTCCAATCTGCAGATCCCAAAGAGAAGTCTCCAGCTGCTGCTAAAACCTGCTCAGGGGCAGCTGCCTGCCCTCTGAGAAAGGGGACCCACCCGCTCAGCAAGCTGAGGGCCTGCCCTGGGATGGAGGGGCGGCTGGGATAAGTCATCTCCAAGCCCGCAGATGAGAACGGAGCCCAGGGAGGGGACGGACTGGCCACAGGCAGAGAGAAGCCGGACTGGGCTGGGGCACCTGCTTCTGGAGCCTGGGGCAGAGATGGGGTGAGGGGAATGCGCTGTGGTGGGCTCTGCTCCTGGCCTCAGCTCCTGGGTCCCTGGGGGACTCTGCAAGCTGAAACACGAAGGGACTGTGATCAGATAAGGAACCAGAGCCTGCTTTTGTCCCTGCGGCCAGAAAGAAACCTGGAGAGTATAAGTTCTCTCTCAGTTTTCCCCTGGAGTCCCATTCACATCCTCTTCCTTTTTTTGGTTATTTTTAGGAGTTCCACTGCCCCTTTGGGAGAATCCCCAGGCCTTTCTCTGCCTGCCTGCAGTGTGTGTGTGTGTGTGTGCGCGCGCGCGCGCGCGCGTGTGTAGGGAGATCGCCTATAACTGGCTGTCCTTTTGAAACTGACCAGAGATGCTTCTGATTCTCCAGGACCAGCTTCTCTCCTGGGAACTCCAGAAGATGTGTCTTCACTTCAAAAGACCGCAAAATGTGGCTTCTCATAAAGTGTCCCCTCCAATCTGGGTGAGGTGTCAGGGTGAGAAAGAGGAGGGACACAGAGGGGCTGGGGAAGAGACACAGAGATGACGTGAGACACAGAGAGAGAGACCAATAGTGAGAAGAAGAGGGAGAGAAGCAGAGGTAGTGAGGCCGTGAGTGAGAGGAGACGGAGGGAGAAAGACCTGGAAACAAGCTCGGGGAGAGACAGAGAGACTGTAAGAAGGGAGCCGCAAACAGCTCAGTGCATAGAGAGAAGGGAGGGGACCAAGGGTGAGATGCAGAGAGGATGGGAGGGGAGAGAAGGAGAGTGAGAGGCAGAAAACTCCGAAGGAGAGAAAGGGGAAAGGCAAAGCTGAGACAGAGTGAAGGAGGAGCCGGGAGCGCGCCGAGGAGAAAGAGGGGAGACGGTGGGGAGGGAGGAAAGGCAAAGCAGCGGAGGCAGGCGCCCTTGTCCTTGTTAATATCCGCGAGGAAGCTGGCCGAGCGTGTCCTTATGGGCCCTGCCGTGGCCATGGCCAGCAGGGAAGTGCCCCTCCGGTGACACGGGTGGCAGTCGAAGGAGGGAGGGGCAGGTCTGCAGCAGGTGGCCGCCCCTGGGTGGGGCCGCCAGCGGAGCCCCGGGGTATAAGTGGGAGGCCCGGCCGGCTGAGCACCTGTCAGGGCCAGCTCCCCCGCGCAGGTGCCAGGCAGGTGGCTCCGGCAGAGCCCGGCCCCAGCATGAGCGCCTTCGACCTCCCAGCGCCCTCCCCGCCCCGCTGCAGCCCCCAGTTCCCCAGCCTCGGCCAGGAGCCCCCCGAGATGGCCCTCTACTATGAGGACTTCCTCCACCCCCAGGGCGTGCCCAGCCCTCAGCGGCCCCCCTCCTTCGAGGGCGGCGGCGAGTACGGGGCCGCCCCCAACCCCTACCTCTGGCTCAACGGGCCGGCCGTGACCCCGCCGCCGCCTTACCTGCCGGGTGCCAGCGCCAGCCCCTTCCTGCCCCAGACCTACGGGGTGCAGAGGCAGCTGCTGCCCGGCGTGTCCGGGCTGGGGGGCGGCGACCTGGGCTGGCTGCCCATCCCCTCGCAGGAGGAGCTGATGAAGCTGGTGCGGCCCCCCTACTCCTACTCGGCGCTCATCGCCATGGCCATCCACGGGGCACCCGACAGGCGCCTCACCCTCAGCCAGATCTACCAGTATGTGGCCGACAACTTCCCCTTCTACAACAAAAGCAAGGCCGGCTGGCAGAACTCCATCCGCCACAACCTGTCTCTCAACGACTGCTTCAAGAAGGTGCCCCGTGACGAGGACGACCCAGGTAAGGGGTCTGCAGGCTTGTGCCGCCGAGGAAGGCTCAGTCCTCCCGACGCCCCATTCTAGAAAGTCCTGAATATGGCCGTGCCCCCCAAGACTGGGGGTCAAAGGGAGTCATCTGTAAACGTGGACCCTGGAGGCAGATTTGGGTTTGGATCCTGGCCGTGCCGCTGACCAGTCAGTGACCTGTGAGTCTCAGTTTCCCCATCTGAAAACTAGGAATGTAAGAGTGGATCCTTTACGGGCTTGTGGGTGGCGGGGTCATGAGATGACGTATGTGAGGTGTTTGGTGCTAACGAGTGCTCGATGGACTGCAGTGATTGTGACAAATTAACCTGAATCCCCAGAATCTAGCATGTAGGAAGTCCTTTGCCAGCAGGGGATGGGAAATGAGTGCTTGGACTAGATAAAGGCAAGTGTATCCTAGGCCTGATGGGAAGGGACCGGTGTTTGTGAAACAACCAGTAAGGGCCACATTATGCTGCCTGCCCTAGTTACATCGTCTCTTTCAATCCAGCCCTGTGGGGTGGCTCTTAGGAAACCCATTTTACAGATGAGGAAAATAACACCTAGAGGTGAAGCAGCTTGCCTCGGGTGACACAGAATGATGTGACAGTGATGGAGAATGAATCTGAATGGAGGTGACTAACACCACAGTGTGAACTTTTTAATGAGCAATTTCTAAAATATAGAGACGTACACAGAGTACTATATTAAATACTCACGTGTCCATTTCCCAGAATTAAAGTCTACTCTCGTCCCAACATAGGAATCCAGGGTACCTCTCAGAGGAACCCCACCTCCACCCTCTCTGACGCTTGTGAGGGCAGGACTGTTTGTCCCCCAGAAGAGGGTGAGCACCCCATCCAAAGACTGGCCTCACTCTCAGGCCGAGAGACGCAGGCAGGCAGGGTTCAGATTGTCCTTCCTGGCTACAAAGCCCCTTTTATACATCTAGCATTAGCCCTCTCTCACAGCCAGCCTGAGGAAGAAGGGGCGGGTCCAACGGGCCCACTTCTCAGGCTAGGAAGCTGAGGCTCACCCAAAGTCCCTCAGTCCGAAGCGGGGACTCAAGTCCATCCTTGGAGTTCACCCCCGAGACTTTCAGGGAGCCCTGAATTTTCTTTCACATCAGCAATGGAAGAAGCCCCACCCTCACCTTCCCCCAGTACTTGAACTTCTCAAAGAGACCACACTGTAAACTCCTTCATGGCTTAGGCCTCTCTTGCTGTGTCCTCCCAGGGTGCCTTGGTGTGAGGTGGGTGCTTAAATAAAGATCCGTGTGCTGTGGCCTTGGAGGGGGTTTGGGGAATTCCTGTTTTGTTCTCTGCCTTTCTGCATTTGCTACCTTCGATTTTAGTTTATGACAGTAAGAAGGAGCAGAAGCCAAGCATTGGATCCGTCTCTCTACTTACCTTCTCCTGCTTTTGTGCCAGGCAAAGGGAATTACTGGACCCTGGACCCCAACTGTGAGAAGATGTTCGACAATGGAAATTTCCGCAGGAAGAGGAAGAGAAAATCGGAAGTTTCCTCCAGCACGGGCTCCTTGGCCTCGGAGAAAACGGAGCCCGGTGTCCTGGCAGGCAGCCCCAAGACCACGGAGGCCCAGGACATCTTGGATGGTGCTTCACCGGGTACCACCAGCTCCCCAGAGAAGCAGCCCTCGCCGCCCCCGCCAGGAGCCCCGTGCCTCAACAGCTTCCTCTCCACCATGTCAGCCTATGTGAGTGGGTCAAGCCCCATGGGCCGCCCTGTGGCCACGCCGGGACTGAGCCCGGAGCCCGCTGACAAGGTGGGGCAGAGCTTGCTGAACTTCAACTCCTACACCCCACTCACCAACATCAGTGGCCACGCGGGCGGGGGTGAGTGGGCCAGCCCCACACCCAGCAATGCTCTGGGCTACGGAGGCTCCGTCCTCAACCAGTTCAGCCCTCACTTCTGCAACGGCGTCAACACAAACAGCGTCCTCTACCCCAGGGAGGGCACCGAGGTCTAGAAACACAACAGCTCCCGAGCCAGAGGGACACGCTCGGGGTCCTCCATGTCAGCATCCAAGTGGTCCAAGACCTCCAAACTGCCCAGACATACACAGGAGGCTCAGAGGAATTCATCGTTTTTCTAGAACATTGTGTAAACCTTGTGTTTGTCACATATCCATCCACAGACCCACAACCAGCTTTGCAGTAGAAATACTGGTGCCTGCATGACAGTAATCAACGTGGCCATTTATCGAGCACTTACTATGTGCTGGGTGCTGTGCTAAGCTCTTTGAAGGCGTGATCGTACTTTCTATTTACAGCCACCTTGTAAGGGTCATATAAACCTCCCCATTTTACAGATGAGAAGACTGAGCCTTGAGGAAGTTAAGTAACTTTCCCAGGGTCATACAGACTAGGAAGCGGCAGAGCCAGGAGTCAAGTCCAGGTCTCTAAGACTCCCAAAGTTTGGGCCAATGAAGGCTGGGACGGAGGAATTGGTTGCGCAGCCAGGGAAGGTCAGTGTGGAGAGCTGATGAGGGCAAGCATATGCAAATCTCCCCACTGCCTTCTGGCCATCCATCAAATTTAGCACCAGCCCTAGGCACATCTCATCTTGGTCCAAGTCCTCATTCTGTGGCCCCCAACTTACCTGCCGACACTCCTTTTGCTACTACTCAGGGGAGAAGCCCAGGTCTGTGCCCCTGCAGGACGATGCGTCCAGCCTCTCCCCACAGAGGGATGTTGCTTCCCCAGCCCCGCAGACCATGAGCAGAGCAGGGAGAGGAGCAGTGTGCACCCCAAACCCCGCCCCCAGCCCCTCACTGCCCACTGACAAAATCTTGTAAAGCCCAGCTTCCTGTGTGCACGTCATGGACCAGTGAGCTGGAGGTGGCCGAGTCTGCCAAGAGAAACAAGGCTGAATAAGTGCTTCCTTTTTTACAGCCCGGGAGGGGCTGCAGACCGCCACAGAGGGGTCCATGCGTGCTGCTCCTGGAATCTTTTTCTTGTTTTGTATGTACTTTACATGCCCGTGATGTTGCATCACAGCACACCCTGGGAAGTATTTTTTGTTTCCTTATGTTCTTTTTAATTAAAAAAAAAAAAAAAAATCTACACGTGTCCCTTCCTTGTGAGTTTTCCTGTCACTTGGCTGCTGGTTGACTCAGTGTGGGGCCAAGTACAGCCTGGAGCTGAAGGCTCTTGGGACAAGAGGCAGAGAAAGAATGGGTGTCAGGCTCTTTC